CCCCGTCGCCCCCCCCCCCCACCCCTGGGCCCCCTCCGGATGCCTGGGTCCCCCCTTAAACCCGGGGTCCCCCCCCCAGACACCTGGGTCCCCTCCGGATGCCTGGGTCCCCCCTTAAACCCGGGTCGTCCCCCCCGCACGCCTGGGTCCCCATCACATCCCAGGGGTGTCCCTCCGCCTCCAGGACACCTGGGTCCCCCGGACACCTGGGTCCCCCCTTGGATGTCTGGGTCCCCCCTTAAACCTGGGGTCCCCCCCTGGACACCTGGGTCCCCCCCAGACGCCTGGGTCCCTGCAAAGAAGCTGCCACAGGCACAGGGACAACGGTGGCCACTTTATTGCCAGGGGGTGTCGGGGCCACGGGGCCTCCAGGGGACGTTGGGGACATCAGGGACATGGGGGTTGTCAGGCCACCATGTGTCTCAGTCCCTTGGGTGGGGACTTTGGGGACAACAGGGGCCAGTCCCTTGCGGGGGGGACGTTGGGGACATCAGGCTGTGGTGGGTCTCAGTCCCTTGAGTCAAGGCAATGACAACGTCCACGTCCTTCAGGGACATCAGAAATGTTGGGGACAGTGGGGACATCAGGCCGCGGTGGGTCTCCGTCCCTTGAATCAAGGTGATGGCGATGTCCCACATCCTTCAGGGACATTGGAGATGTTGAGGACATGGGGCTGTGGTGGGTCTCCATCCCTTGAGTTGGGGCGATGACGATGTCTCACATCCTTTGGGGACATCAGAGACATTGGGGACATCAGGCTGTGGTGGGTCTCCATCCCTTGAGCCGGGGTGATGATGGTGTCCCACCTCCTTCAGGGACATTGGAGACATTGGGGACATCGGGGACATCAGGCTGTGGTGGGTCTCCATCCCTTGATCCAGGGTGATGAAGATGTCCCACATCCTTCGGGGACATCAGAGACATTGAGGACATTGGGCCACAACAGGTCTCAGTCCTTTGGGTTGGGGACATTGGGGACATCAGACCACAATGTGTCTCAGTCCATTGATCCAGGGTGATGACAAGGTCCCACATCCCTTGGGGACATTGGGGACATCAAGCCACCACGTGTCTCAGTCCCTCCAGCCGAGGCGATGATGAGGTGCCCGCGTCCCTCGGGGACGTTGGGGACGTCGGGCTGTGACATGTCTCAGTCCTTTCAGATGGTGTCCACATCCTTTGGGGACACTTTGGGGACATTGAGCCATGCTGGGTCTCAGTCCCTTGGGTCGCAGCGGTGATGAGGTGCCCATGTTCCTCAGGGACGTTGGGGACGTCGAGTTGTGACGAGTCTCAGTCCCTCGGGCTCAGTGACATCACGCTGCAACGTATCTCACTGTCTTGGGTGGGGGACGTTGGGGACATTGGGGACATCGAGGATGTTGGGGACACTGGGGATGTCAGGGGCACTGGGGATGTTGGGGACATTGGGGACACCGAGCCGCAATGTGTCTCAGTCCCTCAAGCTGGGGACATTGGGGACACCAGGGACATCAGGCCATGACATCTCACAGTCACTTGGGGGACTTGGGGGACTTTGGGACATCGAGCCATGACCTGTCTCAGCCCAATGGCTTGGGGCAACGGGTGCCCACGTCCCCCAGGTTGGGGACATTGAGCCATGGCATGTCTCCATCCCTCGGGTTGGGGACACTGGGGACATCGGGTCACGGCATGTCTCCACCCCTTGGGTTGGGGACATCAGGTCATAGCATGTCTCCACCCCTTGGGTTGGGGACATTGGGGACATTGGGTCATGGCATGTCTCCACCCCTTGGGTTGGGGACATCGGGTCATAGCATGTCTCCACCCCTTGGGCTGGGGACATTGGGGACATTGGGTCATGGCATGTCTCCACCCCTTGGACTGGGGACATTGGGGACATCGAGCCACATTGTGCCTCGGCCCCATGAGTTGGGAACGCTGGGGACATCGGGCCGTTGAGCCACGACGCCTCCATCACTCGGGTCAGGGACATTGGGGACGTCAAGCCACATCGGGCCTCGGTCCCTTGGGTTGGGGACGTTGGGGACAACACCCATGGGGGGGGCACACACTTTTGGGGGGACTCTGCCAAAAACGCAGACCCCGGGAGGGGGACGACAAGGACAGGGTGGGTGACAGGGACAAGGTGGGTGACAAGGGACACGGACACTCGGGG